CTCCCCGCCACCTAGCTGAATTTATTAATTTTCCCCATTTCTCCCCATTTTGCTGGTGGCGCCGGCACTGGTTTCCGCCCGCCCCAGCCAAGGGCTTCCGGCACCTGGAGGGAAGGGGCCCCCGAGGAGTGAGGGAGGAGGCACGCGGGGTGAAAAAGGCAGCGGTTATTTATTGAACTGTGAAATGTACAGCGAGAAAATGGGTACAAAATGGCCCATTTCGGGCAAACGCGGCGCTCAGAAGGGCCGGGCATGGGGGTGTCTTCCAGGCAAGCGAGGCCACCGCGGTGCTTAGGAGCCGTTGGGAACAGGGTCCTCCTCCATTTCCTCTTCAGCGTCCTCCGAGGGGCCTAAAAAAGTATCAGACATCAGCGTTTCCACTCCACGGGGATGTCCCCTCCAACACACGACTGATAATCGTTCAAATACTTAAAGTCTCCTCAAAGGAGAGTTTCAGAGAGCTGGGTTTGACTCTATCCCCGCTCACAAAGTGGCCCCGAGTTGTGTTGTGTCTGTCTGCAGCCTTCACAGCAAAGGGTCTCCTCGCTAAATTAAGTGCTAGGAATAGGGACCTGAGCTGAGGAAATCCAAAACCTTTCAGGCTTGAACAGTGCTCTGGAGGCCACACACCCACCATGCACTTAGAGAGCCTTAAATATGTGACCCTTCAGGTCATTCTGACCCTGAAAGTTACGCCAATTTCAAAAAGATTTCTTTCCCAGCCTCAAAATTGCATGACCGTTCCCGCTTTACTCGCTCCTGGGATCACACAAAGCATCAGGAAGCCCTTGAGAGGCTCTGTGTAGAAAGCAGAAGCAGGAGGAAGGCAACGAGACCTGGTTTTCGTTCTCTGCCGGGTATCTGACCGGACTGCAACAAGCCTTTCAGCCTCTCCACTTCGGCTAGAGTTGAAGCATTTGCTATAGCAGCCTGGAAAAACAGCAGACAAAAGAACAAGGTGAACCTTCACATGCAATATGCCAACAATCTCTTTAGTATTCTGTTTATTTATTTATTTTAATCTGTTTAGTATTCTAACATAAGAACAAGAAGTTTTGGTTTTTTTTTTCAGTTAAGCAAAGCTGAGCTTTTCTACTGTATAAAGTTCTACGAGCAACCACAAACTTACTTCTCTCCTTATTGCATAGGCTGGTCTATCCCGAGATAACTCTAACCTCAGAATAAAATGTCACTAATTTCTTAAAAAAACAGCATAGCAGGAAAAAAAGAAAAAAGAAGACAGAGAAAAAGATCCAGAAAAAGATATCTAGAGTATATTGTTCTGCTGGTTTTAAGAGTCAGGGGCTGCCAGGAAGAGGAAAAATACTTGTTAAAGAGGAATTTTTATCCTTGCTTTGCTCAGTGTGTGATGTCCTGGCACGTTACCTTAATTGCTTCCACGTCCCCAGGCGAGGGCCCGGATTTCTTCTTGTCAGTCAAGAGACCAGCACCTGGAGTGAAGCTTCAAAGCAGAGCAGTATCGTTACACCCTCGCAGGGGTACGTGCTTCTCTAACTTCCAAACCATGTCTGGAAGTATTTCATTCAATCAAGTGTAGTATCTTATCTTTGTTAACAAACTGATACAGTGAATCGCCTCCTTCAGAAACACCAGCAGCTCATCCTCATGCCCCATTCCCCCCACTTCTGCTGCTCACACAGAGGCAGACTGTAGCTTTATGAATTAAGCACTTGGCAGAAGTCACTCAGTTTGGATGTTGCTGAACACTCAGGTTGTCAAAAAACAAAAATCAGGGTGGATACAGATTAACCAAAATTGGGTTTCCTGTTCTTAACAGATTTGATATTTTGACAGCCTTTCTTAAAGCCTATTCTGAATATTTAACTTAAAAGAAAGAGGTGAACTGATGCTGTTTTAAGAAAAAAAGATCAAATGTGAAATGGACATTTCTGACTAATTGCCTGGGAAGAGTTTCCTGAAATGCTGACCCAGCCTGAAACAGCTACAGCCTCTTTTGCATCTAGAGAAGCATTTTCTTCATATCCATTTTTGGGGCTATTTCAGTTCAACAGTTTATGTGGTCTAAAACCCTCATAGCCCCAGCCTCCTTCTACTCATAGAGTAGAGACAGAGTTTCATCTCTTTATGTGATAAATGTGTTCAAGAGATTTCTCTTCAGCTACAAATTTTCAAATGCTTTTGTCAGGCATGAACTGGTTTCCAAACGGCTCAGATGCACCATTTTATAATGAAGAATTAAACTGAATAAGCATATATTTGTTATAGGCTGACTAAAGGTTTCCATCTGTATTGTATCCATCTAGTTAAAGTGCATATATTTTAAGAGTTATTACATTCCATAGCAAAGAAAGGCATTTTTAGTTATAAATCAGTTTAAAAAAAAATAACAGTCACCTCTCTCCAGGGTAATAACTGAGACAAATCACAATTAGCACAGTTAGGGCTCTTTTTTGTTGACTTTAATTAATCCACCCAGACTGTATATCACTTTCAAAAACACTTCTGAGATGCATTCACCACCATCCAAAATCTAGGATGCCTCAACCAGGCATTTCTGGTTACAGAATTGTTAAGACATCCTGCCAGTAACTGGAATTTCACTTTAGTGTCTGATGCAGCCTAATGCTGCACACATCAAACAACGTGGTGTTTCTGAAGGAGAATGCCAGTGTAAATTGGTTTTTTTATCTTACGTTTTTGCTCTCCTGGCAATATCCTTTGCAAGCTGTGCACCCCGTTTGCCCTTGAACATTTTCTCTGCCTCCTGTCGCTCCTACAGCGATACCACACACACAAAGTTAAGTCAGGAACATTGCATTTTGCAAAGCTTTGATCCTTGCAAAGAAAGACTCTTCAGCCCATCCTCAGCAGTGAACACTGGTACATGGAGACCAGATTAAGCACATAAACATTGCCAAAACACTCAGACTCGAGACACATCAACCTAATTCTCTTAAAGCTTTAAGAGCTCTTTCCCACACTAAAATCCTCATTTAAGGCACAGGGCTGTGCTGTGATTTCTCATTCCTTTCTCTAGAGGTCTGTCTTTCTACCAGCAATAGTGGATGGTCAGAAAAGTCAGACTAAACAATCAATGGCAGTGAGACATAATTAAAGAGATTGTATCCTTAACAGAATGAAACCATACGAAATGAAATGCACGTTTTTATACCAGCTGCAATACTTAATTTCAAAACACTTTGCAAAAAAATAGGAAAAAAAACACCTTGTTATTAGCACTGAAGTTTCAAGAATGTAACAAGAAAAAAAAAGTCTTCATCTTGTGCCAAATTAGAAGACAGCAGACTTACTTTGAGCTTCACTTTCTGAAAATCCAGCACTCTGACCTGAGGAACTTTGTGGATTACATACAATCTGTAATGCTTCTTATTTGTTACAGGGTTCCTTAAAATGCTACAAAGCAAATAAATATCATAAAGAAATTCTTATAATAAAAGGTATTAAAATTTGTTAATATACCTAAAATATCTTAACATACCTTTTGCTATAAGAAGTAAGAAATAATATCACTAAATATTCATTATAACCTGTTCTCTCATATTATGGAAATTATAGTGAAAACTTGCACTTAAAATTATTTTATCAAATAAGTGGACTTAACTGCAGCAGAACATAAAGAACAAACAACAAATTCAAAACACCTTTAAAAAGACAAATAATGAATCCATCATATTTCCTAACCACACAACAATCAATAAAAAATGCAGGACAGATACGGGCTTTTGTTTTTAATCCCTCAGGCTCCAAATAATGCTATTCACTTAAAAGACCTTGTGCTGAGAAGTCACATGTAGTGACTTCAGTTTTACAGTCTGAAAATATATTTTATAGAATATTTTGGCTTTTCAAGATTACATACCTCAAGTAAGTCAATGATTTAATAGATGATAACGGATCCAGTTCACCCTACACAATGGGAACACAGTACAAAATCTTAAATCGATTTAATGAGAGCAAACTGAGTAAAATTCTAGCAAACCTTACTCTGACACAGAAGCAGTGACAAAAACAAACCAACAAGATCTCACATCCATTTGAACTTAAGGTTTTGAAATACTGCCCAACAGAGCAGCATTTGTCCCAAGTCACCCATTCATGCTCTTTGTTACCTATTACATAATTCAAAAAGAAAACGTAGGAAACACGGCTTGGGATTCCTTAAATGACCTGAAGTTTTAAAAGAGTGTTTCACAGTTTTTTGAAAATAGAAACTTGTTTCTTCACTGAAAACTAGATTATAAATAATTTAATCTCTTTTCTAAAAGCTCTTACTAGAATCTATGTTAAGAGACCAATTAGAATTACTGCAATTAATTTAACAGGAACGCATGAAGATTTGGTAACTACTGTTCCACCGCACGCCACAGATCACATGCATTAAAACAGAAACATCACAACTACCACTAAAACAGTATTTTTCTAAGCAAAGGGAAAAGGTCAGTTATGCAGGTGACGCACACGTACAACAGAAGTTTGTTTAGATTTGTGGATTCAGGATTTACAGCTCACCAGTTCAGCGATGTTGTTGTTGGTAAGAACGAGCTCTGTGAGATAGGGCAAGGCCTGTTCCAGTCCCTCCCCGATCCGACTGAAGGGGAACAGAAAGAAAAAGGTTATTTTGGCTGGAAACAACAGCACCAAGCTGCTAGGTAGATTTACATACACAGCACCACAATCCTGACCTTCTTATTTCAAAAAGCAGCCAAGCCTGACATGGGCAGAAGGGGTTTATACCAACTATAACATGTGTTTGTTGTACAGCAAGTGACATTCACCAGCCACCAGGGCAAAATCATGAGATGCAGCAGATGTGCAGGGGGACAGGGATGCATGTGCAGGGACCCCAGTCTCTCTGGGTGCCCGGGTTTATTTTCACTATTTTCTAATGGGACGGGAAATGAGCTCCGCCGTCTCTGGGCTGATTCCCGTGCTGGATCTGACCATCCTGCCTCAAAAAGGAATCCAGAACTTGGCAATGTGCAAGGCTGGGAAACTGTGTGGGGCTTCGGATTGTGAAAACAGGCTCTCCCACGGAAATAACGGGCTCTCCCACGGAAATAACGGGCTCTCCCACGGAAATAACGGGCTCTCCCACGGAAATAACGGGCTCTCCCATGGAAATAACGGGCTCTCCCACGGAAATAACGGGCTCTCCCACAAACGCCCCTGGCCACGGGGCCGCGCGGGGGCCGCTCACCAGATCCTGTTGTTGTTCATGAGGAGGGTTTTGAGGCGCCGCAGCAGCGGGAACCCGTCCAGCTTGCGGATCTCGTTGTCGGAGAAGTCGATGGCGTCGAACTGGTCCAGGGTGGCGCCCAGGTTCTCGATAACGGGGATCTTGTAGCCTGGCGGGGGGGAAGTGCCACGCGGGTCA